AAGGGCTATTTGACTCGGCGCGTAAGGCCAAACAGCTGAGCATCGATACTAATAACGCCGTCGATAGGAATGCCGATACTACGCCCCTCATGGATACAGACCTGGATACAATTAATACAACTGTACCACCAACAGCTGCGTCTGCCCTGCCAGCCACATACGTAAGACCCATTGTACCCCTACTTCGTCCCGAATCCAATGAATCCTCACCCCTAATCATCTCGATAGCCAATCTCGACAAGGTCATACTAAGCAAGGTGCAAGCGTCGGAGGGCGAGTCAGATGCCAATGCCGCAAACGGCATCGAAGACAGCAGCACCCTGTTGCCACCCAGCTCTATCAACGCACCAAGCCTCGCCCCCGACTCAAATTCGGCGTTTTCTGTGCGCCATGCGTCAGTGTTGCAGGCGCCCAGTAATCAGCTTTCGGACCTATCTGATAAACACAACAGTTATGCACAGACAACGTTCACACTAACAAACGGCGCTATTAGTGGCAGTAGTAACAACAACAACGACAGCCAAACACAAACAGCAACAACATATACTAACATTAGCAACATTAGCGAGAAAATCAGCTACAGCAGCGAAACGCATGTGGTGCGTCGAAAGAAGGCGCGTCGTGGGCGTGGCCGGCGACCTATGAAACGCCAGCGCAACGCAAAAACAACAACCACAACAGCGACAACAACCACGGTGGCTCCTTAATTGCTGCACCACCAATTGTAGTTAGTTACTTCTAGTCTTATTTTGTACAGAGACAAACGCATTAAGTTTAACCCCTCTGCCGCCCTGTAAATAATCGGCGTTATCTTGTCCTTCAGAATTGCAACTTTTTTTTTTTAATAATAAAAATAGTTTTTCATAAAATTTTACCATATGGTTGCCTATGGCCGTATCGTGGTAAAAACCTGCTGCTTTTGAACACTTCAACTTTGTATTCTTCAAGCTGCCATTTATAATAACAGTAATATACATACACACACCAACACATATGCTAACACACACACACACATACACACACACAACATACACACATATACAATCCCACACAATCACATGCAGTAATGAAATGCAATGCCTTTCCAATTGGTTCAATGCAATCTCTAACGACCCTAAGCGGAAAACTGTAAAATAAACTTAATTTTATTTAAGCCCCTTCATTTTTAAATCAATTTCGCTTACAAATTTTTGAATATCTTTTTTTTTCCTTTTGAATTACTTTGAGTTTATTGCATTTAGTTTTAGTCGTTAAATATTTATGCACAATAAACCTAAATAAACCCAAAAACAAACATAATTATTTTGTATATAAGAACCCCAGAAAATTACATACATGCATATCATAGCTATATGCAAATACAATATGCGTAGAGATATTTATTGATATATTGAGATATAGCTGAACAGCTCTATCCAGTATCCAAAAATTATTTGTACATACAGAATACTCACAACAATATAAACACAAAAACAAATCATATTTATTATACAGCACATTTTTATATTTTTACGAAGCTTTTAGTTACATTTTTTGTTGATATTCCTTCAAAGAATCACAAGATCTTACATTAAGGACTATTTATACTAAAAATAGACTGAAACTGCGATATTATTTTACATAGACAACAAAGAGTTGGCATACATGACGAATCAATATAAACATATATACTTACATAAGGGCTGCAAGCTGAATCATAAATCAAACCAATTGTCTCACAAATAATCGGTCTGAGACCCTAACGAACCATTTATTTCGATACCCAAAATGTCCGGTTATGTGTCAGTCCGTCCGTCTCTTGTATGCACGCGTCGAACACAGAACGTGCAAGCGCCCCGTGTTCCATGAAATCGACCAAAATCGCAATTCTGGTTTATGAAAATATTTGGTATATTTTACGCAGATATAGAATATTTCACTTTTTCTATGCCCTAGAAATTCCAAAAAGATTAATCACGATAGCTTTTCCTAACTAGAAACTTAAAAGTTGGCATCGACAGCTCTGAGCGGGGAATTCCGGAAATATCCGAGTGGAGCACGTTCAAAATAGCTTGGTTTAAATTAAATAACCTTTGGCTTCAATATGTTCAGGACAACGGCATTTAATTAAGATATGTTTTATTACATTTTATAATACAAGGCTAACAAAATGTTGCACCAAAACTTGGGTTCAAGGGTCTGTCGAAACCGAGCCGTTAACTTAAGCTGGACAAGAGCCTTCCCTTTACAAACTTACTTTTTCGAACTTGCCCAAACACACACGAGAAAAGTTTAATAGCCAAAGGCCCCAGGCAAAAATAAGCTTTTATTGCTTACATTTTCGAAACTTCATCTTTTGTAGTCCTACTTCTATGTCTGGCTTACATATCTTTATATATATATAGATATATATATGCATGCCCTCTGTCGCCGTCGTGGAACTTCAATCGAGAGAACTTCTTCTATTTATACTACTATTTATAGAATTCAGAAAGCTATGCATATAAATGTATGTGTGCATTCTTGAGCTAGCTCATGTTTTAACAATTTTTTTTTTTAATAATTGATCAAATGCTCCTAAGTAGGAATTATCATAATATAGGATATTCGTATTTTCGTAAAAGGGCAGCAGTTTTTATTTATTTGATTATGCGTGATAAGGGGTTCTATCCAAAAAATTAAATATACCAAGTCTGTGTGTACAGCACGAGAAGCTACGTGCCAAATATGAGAGAGATATGCTAAAATGTATATTGATATTGATAATCGATTCTTATCGACTGCTTGAACACGAGGCAAGCTATCAATTACCGAAAACAAAATTAAGCTGACTCTAGGATAATCTACGTTCAGAATTTCAGGTCTCTAGCTCTAATGGGTTCTGAGATCAACATTTTCATACGTACGGGCAAAAGGACATGGCCAGAATAAAGCGACTATTGCTAATCAAGAATTTTACTTAATCGGCTTTTGCTTCTTTCTGCATGCCACATACATTTGCACAAAACCATTATACCCTTTTTACACAACAGGTTAGGGTTATATTAAAAGTCCAAGGCAAACTGGCCAATAAAGCTTATATACAAAGATTTGAAAAATGCGCCCCTTGACAGATTTTTATTTGTTGATTTCATTGGTTGAAGCCCAAAGAGGCTAATAAAGATTATATTACGAGACTCAAAAAGACATGTATCATAATAATCTATTATAATTAAAAATGAATATTTTTAATGTGGCTGTTTTTTCGGTGGCTTTTAGCTTTAGATTTATTTATTTTTGCAAGCACTTTAATTTCCCTACACAAACATTACGAAGCTGAGTACCCAAACCTAAGAAACTTTTCAAGTGCAGTTCAGATTGCATAAATAATTTTATAATAATGTGAGGCAATGCGATAACACAACTTATAGCTTGGTATATAACTAAACAATTACTCTACTTAGTTTGCTTTAAAAGTAAAATATGTATTCTTTCTTCCTGTTGCCATACCCCCCAAGTGCTTTCGATTCTTGAAGTCACTTGTATTCATTCAAATTTCCATCAGCATGTATGAATTCCCATATGACTTGCCACTTTAATGCCGCTTGGCATTTTTGTACCTTTCACCTAACACATGCATCACAGTTGGCACTGATTTGGGTCTTCAGCCAAAACAACTTTTTGCATTGGCAGCAACTTTCTCGTCTTACAATGACGACGCCCTGACAAGCATTCACCGTACACACTTCTGGCTGTGTCTTGATCTAGCTCCGATCGTCTGCACGGTATTTAAGTAAAGATAACCAGTTTGGCTTGAAGACAACAAACATTTCAGCAACAGCCAATAAAAGCGTCAGCTAACAGGCTATCATAAAAAGCAAAGCGCACATCTTTTAACGGCAGCAGAGCCAAGTGTCTTATGCAATCACAATGGCATGCAGTCGCCGTTGCCAAATGAGCCGGTCCGGCCAGCTGATACGGGCTCATCTTCAATCTTCAACTCGGCATATCGGGTTTCATACGTTGCGCAAGCGGCTCTAGGGCGTGTCCATACGCATGCGCATGCGCATACTGGCGACATTGACATTAAAAAAGCTCCATATACTGGCAAGTCCCACATCGCAACTTTTATTCCATAAGTTTCTGTATAACTTTTATTATGCATAGCCATAGTTTCATGGTTACATGTATGCATAATGCATGCACAGTGCTCGCTGAACAATACCCAACAGCCAGCTAACCAAACTGGTATCAAATTGTTGGCATACTGATTCATCTTGTGCACAATGATCTTATGTATGTCTATACTATATAGTCTCTGGCATTCTAACGTCCTTCAATTAAGATGCCTGACTGCATTTTTTAGTCTGTCCAGATTATTGAGTTCATGAGTAATTATTTCACTATGACACTCAAACATCAAGCATCACTCATGAGTTGCTAGTTCTTGACCGTAGACTAAAGTTTCTAAGACAAAAATTATAGTGGATTTGGGTAGGCTAAATGCAGTGGGAAATATATGACTAATTTGTTGTATGCTATAGGTATTGTTGTATTAGAAGTAAATCCCCGTCTTTGTAAGAAAGTACGCACACACACAAGCCCTAACACTTTATTGCACAGTATAAACGGAAACATTAGTATATATAGATGTAATCATAGTATTAGTACCAATGCTAATTATTTATTTATAATGTAAACTAGTTATGTACATATATGTATATGCATGTACAAATATTTCTTTAATTGTTGAGCATGTAGCTTGCTTTTAGATTGCTGTTGACTGTGACTGCACATCGCGGATATCTTGATATTGAGATCACAGATGCAAATTAAAAAAACGCACAACACACACGACAAGCACAGACACGCAAGTTAAACAAAAATAAAATGAAAAATGAGAACTGATCTATCAATAATAAACAATATATTTTATGCTATTATAAAATATTGAATGCCAATTGCTCGCTTCATTTCATGTGCCCACCAACACAAACTTTACAAAAAACCGCCGCCTCCGACAACAACTTGGATGATCGTCTTTCAACTGGCAGCTGCGAACACAGACTGTGCCTTCGACAACAACTGCCACTGCTGCTGCTGCTGCTGGTGCTGGTGCTGCTGCTGCCGCTGTCGCCAGTGTCTCGCGACGTCCCGTGCTAAGCGTGCGCCGACGAATAATTAACACGCCGACGGCAGCGTCTGAGTCGACCACGCAAACTGCAGAACTGACGACGACCTCTAAATATAATCGTCTGCGCAGTAAGCCAGCCACAACGACAGCAGCAGCAACAGCTAAAAACAGCAACAGCTACCTAAGCAAACTAAAAAGTTCGTCAGCAACATTGCCGTTTGCACCAAGCAGCAGCAGCAGCAGCAACAGCAACAGCAACAGCAGCAACAATAACAGCAGCAACAACAGCACTGACAACGCGCAAAAACAACATAAATTCCAGGCAGCCAGCTATGCATTGCGTCGCCAGTTTCAGACACGTCGATTGACGACAACGGCATCCTCGACAAGTGTCGATGAAAACGGTAAGAAATTGCAACATTTATTAGCTGCTGTTAATGTATTAAATTAATATGAAACATTTTGAAGTTAAAGGTTTTTATGATGAAGCGCACTGACAAGTACACTCTAATGCACTCTAAATTATAGGTTGTCCATAATTGTATCTTTAAGATAATTTAAAATTGTAATAGGTTCTACGAAAGACAATCTAAACACTTTATATTGTTATTGGCTCTACCATGTGATTTGAAGAATTCAACTGGAGAACGAAAAGTGTTTTATTGAGTGTGGGATACATGGTATTTTTTAGTCGAGCTTACTCGTTATTCTTTTAGGGTATAAATAAGCAGTACTACATATACTACCTCACCAGGGAATTTAATAGACACTTTAGCTATATCGCATAAAGCTGTAGTAAGGGAAGAAACTTTATGAGAAATCTTGCTGTGTTTCTGTTATTTGTTATTCGGGCACTCCCGACTACAGCATTCTTCTCTCTACTCGTCGAAGCCCAACAACCTGTATTTAGTGTAAACGCAGCAGTCGATTTTTTAAAAAAAATATACTTTCGTTATGTTTACTGTTCAGCCACGGATGCGCCGCGCACACAAAACCCGCTTTTTAAGCGCCGCCTAACGCTAACCTCTACTGCAACGCCACCACGGATTTCAACCACAGCGTTATCGATAGATACGACTACCTATTTGCCTGGCATTGAGGATGATAATGATCAGGTGGCTAGGTCCAGCATACACACAAGTCGCTTCAATCATATCTCGGAACATTTACGTCCAGGCTTGAGTTTTGAGCTACCCAACAGCATCAGTAGCGTTGGCGTAGCCAATATCACACGTGCGTCCCTTTTGCTAATATAATTTTAGTTTTAGAAACTGATTCTTTCTTTGAATCACTATGCAGGTCGTCAGATGATACCACGCCCACGTCGGCCACAGTCCGCCACGCCCACACCTAGTACAACTGCAGCAACAGTAACGGCGGCATCATCGCCGCCAGCATCCCGCCGTCAGCAGAGCCGTCGACGGCCGCACAAGTACATTGAGGTATACAGCCGGCCGCCTAGCAAACCGGAAGTGGCCACGGCCACATCTACTGCCAATCGTCGATCAGGCGTTGTTGACCACGAGATCTATGATCAGAACCGTGCGAGCGTTACAAAACAGTCGCGACGCCGCAATGAACCAGCCCGTCTTCATGTTCAGGGCCAGTCCCAGTCCCAGCCCAAGTCACAGACGCTACCGAAGGTGATTGTGCATGGGCAAGGCATCATCGAGTGCCTGGACCAAGGCAATTTTCCTCATCCGCTCAACTGTCGCAAATTCATTTCCTGTGCCAAATTCGATGGGACCGGCGGCATTGTAGGTTGGGAGTACACCTGCCCCAAGGGTCTCGGATACGATGGCGACAGCGGCATGTGCACCTGGGCGGCAGCCGGCGAGAGAGCATGTCATAATTGAAGCGTCTGGGTGGGGGCCAATGACTGAATACACGCCTTTGCGGCCCAACGCCACTCCCAAAAAGAGATAACTGATTTTTTTTTCTTGCATGTTGCATGTTTGCACAAAATTTTTTATTGTGAATAGTTTTATATATGTGTGTAACAAGTAATAATATAGATATTTTAATGTTATTTAGGCGTTAAAAAATGTATTATGTATTATTGTACGTTTAGAAAAAGGTCTTGAATCTGTCAGTCTGCTCGTCTATGCACAATATTATACATATATCAGCTGGGCGGATCGAACCACTTTATCAAAAAACCTGCCATTGAAACAAATGGTTCAGACCTGTTTATTACAAAATGCCACTCAGCGAATATAAGTGTCATTAAGCTCTTAATGAATGAGCCGCATATATCCCCTTGTTTTTGATACTTTTTTGTCCCTCTCTGTGTGCATGTCTGTCCGTTCGTCATGAAACTTTGCATACGTCCTCCGTCTTTCTGTGGCAGACAGTAAATATGCCGGAACCGGGCGGCTCGGATCACTATGTGATACTGGTATAGCTGCCATGGTAATGAGCGGTCGAAAGGTAGTTTCTGTCAAAAATATTTTGTAAAACAAGGCATTTATTAGTTTCACTATGCTCCTTACATATAAGCTTAATTTTATCAATATCGGGCCACTATATCATATATAACTATTATGGAAACGATCGACCGAAGGTTAAGTTCTCGATTGACTAAGCTCGGCATTTCTTCTTACATTTAAGAAATTAAGTTCTCGGCTGAAAAACATTCTAGTTTATAAAGATATCTTGACCAAATTCGGCATTTGCAAGTTCTACTATGCTCCCTGATCTTCGGCGTGCCGAAGAAGTCCGTTTCGTTCTACTTTTGGACAAATGAACCAAATCGTATCAAAATAAAGTTACTTATATCTCCCATATCTTCCATAGCAACCATTGTTCGGCACACGATCTTTTGCATGGAAATACCTTGTTAATAAGTTAAGAAATATTTTGCAAACCTGCTAATAGGGTAATTCCGGCACCACGAAGGATTACCATTTTATTTGTTTTTTTTTTTCTGAAGATGAAACATACCTTGCTTATATGTTATATACGAGCGGCTTGGTACCACAGAGATGGCGATAAATGTAATATTTAATAAAACGTTTTACGATGTGGCATTTGCTCAATATCCATAAAGATATTAATACATATCATGAATTCCATATTTTCGTAGTATATAAACTCGACTGCAATTTTTAAATATTTGTGACAGTAAGTAAAATTAAATGCAGTAAGAGAGACTTTTGATTATCTACTAAAATGGCTGAAAACACGTAGAAATATTGGGAGTACGTAGAAAATAGGCAGGGAATATTGTGGTTTTTTTAAATATGCAAAATTATATTTGAAAACTATGCGTAAAATAGGCAATCAATATGAAAGGAAATGCGTCTTGTTGTTTTCTAGTTTTTCATGTTAGCTTCGAAGGCTCAATAGCAGACTCCGCTTAAGCGAAGTTCTTTTGCTGCTGCTGCCTCCAGGCCTCATGGACAGCGTGATATCCGCTCTGTGTCTGGGCAGGGGTGTTGCGGCCGAAGGGGCTCTTCGAGTTCACCTGCAGCATGTAGTCGCCGCGGATGTCGTAGCTGGTGGCGATGCCCATGTATGCGCGCTTGCCATAGCCGTTGTTTTGTTTGTACTCCTTGTAGGAACTGGCGGCGACGGCTGGGAAGTTGCGCTCGTTGCCAGGGCGAACAGACTCGGCAAAGTAGCGGGTGGCGCGTAGAGATGCCTCCACAACGTTGTCAGCGCCAGGAACTCCAGTTGCTGGTCCGTTGGGGTAGAAGTCAACATCGGCAAGGCGCTCCTGGGTGCCCATGCCATAAGCGGAGGTGTGTATGGCATCAACAAAGTCGGCATCACCGCGAGCCAGACCGCTCAGCTTGTTCTCCGGCCTTGCGTACAGTTTGGTGGGGTCCAGGCCAGTGATGCGGCGCAGCTTGTGTCCAGTCTGGCGTGTGTACTGGCGACCAGCAACACCGGCAACGTGGGCAGCGGGTCCCTGACCAATCAGATGAATGATCTCCTGGGGCACATTCACTTCGTTCGTAAGCTGCACAAGTAGATCGCCAATAATCTCGCCGATGCGCTCTACATTCAGGGTAGCGTACTGCTCAAAATCTTCGATGAGATCGCCCAATGTGATAACCACCAGATCGCCGGTTTTGTTGTCATCCTGCTCTTGGTTTTGCTTGCGGCGCTGTTGTCCCTGCTCCTCGCTACTGGTCTTTTGCTCAGAACTGTCTTGCTGGCCGGCATAGGGCTGCAGATTGTAACGCTGCTCATAAGCCTGGACCAGCTTGCGGTTGGCCTTGTTCACGTGGTTCCAGCTCTGGGGCAGGCCCTCGATGAAAATGGTCACCTCATCGTTACCGAAGTTCGTCTGACGCTTCACTGTCTGCACAAAGTTGTTAAGGTTAAACTCGATCTTCTGTTTGCGCTCGCCAACAATGTAGCCCTTGATTTTGCTGGGCTCTGGAACGTAATCAGGCTTGAAGATGCGATTGAATTGCGCCAAATGGTCTGAAAAGTGTCATAGTCCCATTCAATTATGATGAAAATCACTCGATCATAACATTGTAATAATTTACTTACACAATTTGTCCAGCAAAGTGGCGCCCTCATCAACGGTCATGCCTTCGAGACGACGCAGAGTCACATCCTTGAGCATTGGCAGCTGCTCAATCTCGCTTGGGCTGACCCAGTTGCTGGGATCCTCGTAGCTGTTCAGCGAGTTGGACTGCTTATGGTTGTTCGCAGCCAAAGCCACGGCCATAAGACAGGCCATAACACAAAAAGAGTGCAGAGGATTCATTTTTACCAAAGCTTTGTACTTCTATTGTCGAGACGCCGTACCAAGCTGTACTGCATGTAGCTAGCTGTCCGGACAGCGGTTTTATAGCCCCAGATTTCTTTTGACGATAATACATTCACTGACTGTCAGCATACACGTGTCGCCCAGCGGAAGCACTAGGTAGCTGACGGGTGCATGGTGCATGCATCTTGCTCAGCACTTTTCGGAATCGAAGCTCAAATTCTAGACAATAATATATGAAAAAATTGAAAATCTGCAATCATCGATTTGGTGACGCGGTAATTTCCACATTCATATTTTTCGCTTTATCAGTGATCGTCAATTGGCTGCCCCTATCAATTTAAAGTCAGCATTTGACACCGCCAATTTGGCAACTTTTACGTGCTGTTTGTGTCAAAAGTTGCACCTCGTAAATGCGCTGCTGCATTGCGCTTCTTTTGTAACCATGATACAATGAACTTACCATTAAAAACCCGCCTTTACTGAGAAGACCATTACGTGCATTTTTTTTCAGTACCATTTATTAATATATAGCTTTATTTATTGTATGATGTCACATTGATGAGAATCATCCTTTATTAATAAACTAATTTTAATGCAAAAATCTGAAAATATGAAAGAGTGTAAGGATTGCGACTAACATATAATATATTGAATATATTTAATATATATTAAATATATACTTATATTGAAATTACTTAAAATATGGTACAAACACAAAAACTTACATTCGATCTTAATGAAGGCTTTAGTGCTTGAATATATGGCTAGTCTATTTTTTGCACGCCGAACATTAAATACTCTTGTCGAATAATTGTTACTCCATTTTTGATAAGATTTGATTTGTAAGAAAAAAAGCATAGTGAAACTAATAATGACCCAAGTTGGTAAACAAGAAAGACAAGAACTTGATTCAGACAAAAACTTGATTTCTGGCGGATCATTCTTTTGGCTCCTATATGATATACTGAACCGATGTTGATAAGATTTGGCTCAAATGTAAGTAGCAGTGCATAGTGAAACTAACTAATGCCGATTTTTGGCAAAAGTGCCTGAAAAATATAACGTTTTTCAATTAAGAACTTAATTTATATATATATATATATAATGATATATGATAAAAAAAAAGTTCAGCATGATAAAGTGGTCCGATCCGAGCAATTCCGACAGGTGAACTGCTTGCAATAAAAAACATATACCTATTCATGACGATCGATTCAAATCTGAGAGACTTGTACGGATAAAAAAAAGGGCACACCCAACCATTCTGACTCGGCTGTTGAAACTGATTAAGAATATATGCACATTATTGGATCGTAGATGTTTCCTTCTGTGCGTTACAGATTTCATGAAAAAACTACAATACCATCCATACTAAGGGTATAACAATAATGTTAGTTGCTGATTACTGTCAGTGTTGCTATTAATTATAAATTTATAGAAGCAATTCATATTTTATTTTTGTTTTCTTCTTTGTCTTTTTGAAGGGAAATTATGTTCTTTTTTAATAAAATATGCCTCTCATATATATACATAGTCTTTTGTGCATGTTTAAAAATCAATGTTTGCGTTAAAATTGTATAACTTGGCGCCAGTTTCGCAATTTCATTAATTTCTAGCTTACTTGGCAAAAAAAAATTAACAGTTTTTATACACACGCGTTTTTGAGTTTATTGCCCTAAAGTTTGTTACATTTACTTGAGGGCAATTTGTTGATAGCCTAATGATAAGAAGAATCAGGGTCAAATGTCGGCCACGGGTCGACATGAAACATTTTTAGAATCGTTTAAGCACGTGGTGACATTTAAGCAAGCCTAAACAAAACACTTGCTAAGTAGTGTGTTAATATGTCTTAGCAATGTGCTAAGCAAACATCTGCCAGCGGAATGCTCAAAATTAAGGCATTGAGCTGGGGAACGCCGGGTACTTCCGCTACAAATAGCCAGTATTATTTTATATTTACAGCTCATAGTACAATCATTAACATTTTGCCCATTTAGGCATTTTGTTATCAAGCTTTTTAATTTGTTGCAGGCATTTAACAATGTTTAACAAATGACTTGATAGCCTAAGGCTATCAAACTACATATATGCATGTATGCATGCATGTGTATGTATGTATGCATGTACGTAGGGTGCACGCGTAGTTTCATGTATGCGAATTTGTGGGCAATCTCATGCCTGTTTGGCTACATATTTAAATGAATATTCCAAAAAATTGCAACGCTGCAGTTATCAATCAAGTTCCGAATTGCCTGACAATGCAAAATGTGGATGGGCTTAAATGCTATAAAATCTAAAGCCCGGAACACTGAAAGACAGTTCAACTCACAGCAACATCGAGAGCTCATAGTAGTTCCTGCAGTAGTTGAAGTCCTAGTTGTGCCTGATCTAGAATACCATGAATCCAATAAGAGTGCTTAGCCTTCTGGCCTGCCTGGCTGTAGCTGCCATGGCTAGCCCCACCACCCGTATGCACGAGAATGCCGTTAGCCAGGCGCTGAAACCATCGCAGTGGCTGTCAGTGCAAGAGCTGCAGGCCATTCCCGCTGTGGATGAGCTAACCCTGGAGCGATTGGAGAACATGTCCCTGGAGAAGGGCGCTGAGCTGTTACAGCAAGTGTGTATGTATTTAAACATTAGCCTGGAAACTTAGTTGTGGTGCTGATATGCCTTTCTTGATCTCTGATAGATCATTTGTCGCAAATCAATCATGATGTCGAGCCCAATTTCGTGCCCAGCAATATTCAGGTCTATGTGCCGAAGCCCAATGGTGACAAGATCGTGGCTCCAATCAACGAAATGATTCAGCGTTTGAAGCAGAAACAGAACTTCGGACAGGATGAGGTTACCATCATTGTTACTGGCCTTCCCCAGACAAGCGAGACCGTGAAAAAGGCAACCCGCAAGCTCGTCCAGGCCTACATGCAACGATACAATCTGCAGCAACAGCAGCAGCAAGCTCAAAAGTACAACACTGAATCCGAAGAGGACAACAAGCGTCAGCGCACTTCCAGCGAGGAGGACTACAGCGAGCAGGCCAAGAACGCCAACACCAACACCGGCGACATTATTGTAAGCACATGGTTTTTGGCACAACAGCGAAACACCTTTAACATTTACTCAACTTATCAAACATTAATAATTTCGACAGGTGATTGACTTGGGCTCTACCCTGACCAACTACAAGCGCTACGCTATGTTGGACATTGAGAAGACCGGCGCCAAGATCGGCAAGTGGATTGTCGAGCTGACCAGCGAACTGCAATTGCCCCATGAGACCATTCATATGATCGGTCAAAACGTAGGCGCTCACGTTGCTGGCGCTGCTGCCAACGAGTTCACCCGCTTGACTGGCCATAAGCTCCGTCGTGTCACTGGTCTGGACCCCAGCAACATTGTTGCAAAGAACCGCTACACACTTACCGGTCTGGCCCGCGGCGATGCCGAGTTCGTTGATGCTATCCACACGTCCGTCTACGGCATGGGCACGCCTATTCGCAGCGGTGATGTTGATTTTTACCCCAATGGACTGGGAGCTGGTGTTCCCGGTGCTGAAAACGTTGTCGAGGCCTCCATGCGTGCCACCCGCTACTTTGCCGAGTCTGTTCGCCCTGGCAATGAGCGCAGCTTCCCCGCTGTTCCCGCAAACTCGCTGAAGCAGTACAAGCAGAATGATGGATTCGGTAAGCGGGCATACATGGGCATTGACGCTGCCTACGACATCGAGGGCGACTACATCCTGCAGGTTAATCCTAAGAGCCCCTTCGGTCGTAACGCACCTGCCCAGAAGCAGAACAGCTACCATGGTGTGCACAATGCCTGGGAAAGCAACAAGGACTTTTAATAGGCTTTCAGATCCACCAACGTAGACTGAAAGCTAGACAAAGCTAAGACAACATCAACCGCTTCTTATATTGAACTTAGATGTTAAGAACCAACAATTGGCGATTTATCTTAATAAATTAAATGCGAAATTTATGGCTTATACAAACAGACTCTTTTTAACGGCCAATTGTATAAAAATGATTACCATTTTTAAAATTCACAACGGCAAATCTCTAGTGTTTTTTATGTCCAATTAAGAGTCTATAAATGATGTGTCAACTGGGTGAAAATGTCTCAATCAGATGTAATACCTAGACATTTTTCAGATAGTGTGTACATCATTGAGAAAGCCATCCCACACCTTTACCTTGTCTTCCAACTTAGTCACCATGTGTCTTTAAAACATAATTCACTATTACAATAAATAAAGATATCTTTGCACCGAAGTACCAAATAGTTGCTGGGATATCTGCCTCAACACAGACATATTTGTGAAAATCTCGAGATTGTAGTTACTATGCGCAGCGATATTTTTCTAAATTTGTAATTGTCTTAATTACTTACTTGTAAATTATTTATTAATATGCGTTTGAAATTAACATAATAATAGTACGAATGTTAACTAAACAATATTCTGACGTCACAATATGTACATATGATGTGGACGCGTCGTATGCGTAACGTTTTGTTTTGAATACGACCTATTGGCAAACAAATAGTCTACCTAATGGCGCCGGAACTCGGCTCTGCAGCAACATCCTTGAAAGACAAAAAAGCAGACACAGAACATTGCAACAAGCTCGGAAGCATTCTTCGTTCTGGCTTTTTGCACATTGTTTCCAACGACTCGAAGCCCTGCACTCAAACATGCATTCTAATTAAATAAAGGACGAAAACAAGCACGCTTTTCAAACGCATTGTTGTTGTTTTTCAACAGATTTGTTGTCACTTACTATGGAAACTGTGCTTGAGTTTTTGTGTTTGATTTTGTATTTGCAGACCAAGCCCAAGTACGGGCGAATGCTTTAAAGTGGCACTGAAAGCTCGGAGTGACTGTTCGTCTCTATATACTTACTTATTAATCAATGAGGGTTGTTGTTAGCTTAAAGCTTGTCTAAAGCTTTTGTCAGCTGTAAGGGTTGGCAGCCTTTATAAAAATAGATACAAGTTTGATTGCACACCCAGTTGCCTTGGCAAGCCTGTCGCTGTTTCTAATTTTGTTAGCCATTTCCAGTTGTTTTTGTGCGCGTTCTACGCTTCATTTTTGTACAATCGACAATGAAGTCTTAATTCAAAGTCCGATTACCAATTCAACGACGACAGCGACTCTATACTCGCTCTCATTTTCGCACCGACACTCCACTGTTGTCGCAGTCTCCACATCCCTGTTACTGAGTGACAGTCAACTGCTCCCTGGTGCGCAACAATATTTTAGTATTCTGTAATTGTTTACTGCACACTGCCTACCAACAACAGCAAGCTCCTCAAATTGTTGCCTGGTTAACAACAGAGAGAACAAATACTGCTGGTGCCCAGTGAAAGCGACAGAAACAGCAACAGAAACGGTCCTTAAGTGTTGTTACACGATAGCGAGAAAATTTTCTCATTTTCGCGATGGTGTGACTTTCTGTGTGTATTAAGATGAACACAAGCGAACAAGAAAAAAAAAACAATAAAAACAAATTAAAGTTTGCAAAATAATTGCGTGTGTTTTCGCGTAAGTGCTACTACTTATGTTGTCATCTATTTGCACAACACCAAATCTGTCTGTGGCACACACATCAACTTTTTAATGGCCGAGTAGATAGCGTTGCAATAAATATTTTATTCAGTTAACGTCATAAACACAACAACAACTCTGGCAAAGGCTAAGCACAAAGGCAAGCAGCTCGTTCGACGACGACCAAAAGTATGCAGCGAAAAATTGCATTTTCTGTCAAGGACAAAACAAAACTTTCTGCCATGTAGCGACTGGCGTTTATCTTGCCTGTGTGTGTGCGTGTGGGCGTGCGTGTGTATGTGTGTTTTCAAGCAAAGCGCCACCAAAACCCTTAAGACAAAAAAGTATCTCAAACAATCAAGCAGCGAAAATACCGAAGAAAAACAAAACAGAATAACAAATCACACAACCAACCACGGAGGCTGCAGCTACACAACAACCCCAGACAAGCAAGCCACCCCAATCGACATTTGGCGCCAGTCGGACAACTGTGTGGCCACCATGTGGTTTCATGCTTCAACGATGCTCCGATTAGTTCCAATGTTTTTCATTCTACTATGGCTGCCCGTTCAAGTAAGTTGCCAAACATATTCATTTAACGCAATGATTTTGTGACCTTAGTTCACGTAACTTTTGCCAAATTAAAAAAAAAAAAAATGCCTATGATTTCTCTTGTCGGGAGTGCCCGACTAGGAGATTCCCCTTTAGCTAGACATATACAACATGCATACACATTGCACATACTCAAGAGCGCCGCTTACATTGCGGCTGAGCTGCTTCTAGCCACACGCTTAAGAAAATGCTTTCGTGACTTATTTTGAATTGATGGAAACGGGCCAAGTTATTGATGATATAAAGTAAACTCGTAGTACACGGGCATTATAAGGACATACACGCACACCTTGAAGCCTAACTGTTATGTTTTCGGACAGACATACTTCACATACTTCACATACTTCACATACTTCACATACTCGACTATTGACGCTGACCAGAAGATGCTTCCATCTACCATTTTAAGCCATTTTCAATGGATTCAGGGTATAAAATGTGATGCACTGCATGTGCGCCGTCGGTAGTGCCCGACTAGAAGATACCGTGTACCTAAATGATGACGAGCTAGCGTTGCACATTTATTTGGCTGTATTCTCATTTCATGATTGTTACTCATTTCATGATTGTCCCAAAACATTAAATGTAAATGTGTCCATATAAGAAATCTAATATCCAATGGGTTTTATAGTTTATATAGTTTTTCAGTCCATAAGAACATTGGCCAGATATTCGACGGGACGAACTACCATACCATATCTTGTAGCTTATTTTAGAGGCACCAAATTTTAAGGCTCTCGTATAGTATGCTCATACCCATATTTAATTTCTTGCATACGTTCTCTCATTCCAACCAAATCAAAGACACCCAATTTAGGATGTATATTCGGAATATTGATATTAAAACCAATTAATCAAGAATGCATTTGGGGTTAAGGGAAGAAACTGCGTGCTTGTGTATGTATTATTTGTCTTAAGGTATTTGGCTTAAGGTATCTCCTAGGCGAGCTCTCCCGACTAGAGCACTCTGGCATGTTTTTTTGTTTTCTTTCCTCTGGGCTATTTAACATTGAAATTGGCAATTCTAGTAACTAATTTTCTTTCTTTGAGCTCTTGTGTATATTAATAGTTATTATTGCTCATAGCAGACAAATAAGGTCGCGAGCCAACCTGTTCTCCATTACCCTTTCTTGTCTATTGCACTTTTGCAGGTCACGGCTCGCTTCTGCGAGGGCGGGCACATATGTTCGCTGCCACGCGAATGCTGCACCCAGGGTTGTTGTCCACCATATCAAAGTGGACCGCGACAGCTGCCTCCACCGTCGGAACATGTACTGAACTTATTCTTTATCAGCCATTGGTTCTTTTGGTAAGTAGAAAATGCAGATAATAACATATATATCATCATCATGGTTGCAGTCACAGTCCCCTGTGACGAGAAGCTCTGCATAACGTTCAAGGTTACTTTGCCGGGGCTGATTCGCATTGTGTGCTATGGTATACGCCAATATAAACACGAGTATGAGTATTATTATTGGCAGCAAGTTGGCCCCTGACTGAGTTGTGTCAAGTCAAGACAACGCCTTATGCAAGTCGGCCCCGAATCCCCAGACGAGACAGAAAGCGGCAAATGGCATTGCCAACTAATGAGACACTGTCTGTCACTGTTCCTACCGCAATTTCTCTTTTGCTTGTCGAGCGCCTGTTCACATAATCAAATGTAGCGTCGCCGAAAAGCCAAGCGAACAGGCAGCTCATTTAGTTGGAATTCGATTACGAACGGAGCCGGCCGTTACTATCTTAGCCCTCTTACCGCGCCTTTGCCTGGTCCTGTTCCCTTTATGGGCTTTTTCATACAGACACGCCAGCTGCAAACGGAGCAGTAAGAGAGCTTCTTATAAATTGTGTATACCTCTCAGCAATCGTAATTATATGTTATTCCCCACTTAGGTGCGTCGTGGTGGCCGTCATTTTAGCCATACTTTGTGCCTACTCGTTGTGGAAAAAGCGACGTACACTCTGCGGCTGGGGCTTTACGGAGCATCACACACAATCCGAGGGAGATTCGGCCGGCTCCTGCTATGCACCGCCGCAATATAGTCGCTGCAATTCATTTCATCACCCTCCCCCGCCGTACACGGAGGTAAGTTTCAATATACTTTGAGATGGTCGATTTTCAATTACCTGGTCAATCTCTTAAATGTGTTTATTTAAAACGAGTTTCACTTATTTATTAGGTGGCATCGAAACCGGATCTATACCCGCTCGTGTTTACATGCAACAACGAAAATAGCAAGGGAAATGCCGGCTCCAGCTATTTGATGGTGCAATATTTTCGCAACTACATTGTGCGTCCAACGGGCTCACTGAGTGCCGCCAGCACTGTTGACTCGCTTAGCTCCAGCTTCATTTGCAATATCAATGAGGCCAACACATTGGTGCCGCCACCCTACTCACGAGCAGCCAGCCCAGAGCTAAGCCTACATTACGGTGCAAACAGAGAGCCTCCACCCAACTCGCAATTAGCAGCGCCGCAATACGGCTTACCAAGGTCCGCATCCCAGCTGGTAGAGCCAGAATATCAGCCACGAGCCCATTATGCTACCGTTGCAGTGGACAGAAATACTGGACTTGGGGCTGGCACAGCGCATTATAGTACACGTTTACATAACTCGCACAGCGGACACTTCTCGCCGGGTGAGTCGTCCGTTGACTCGGCTGGCCTTATGCATACCGGTGGTGGTGGAGGAGGCTTCCTGCAGTCGCAGAGCGATCAACATTTCCGCTACATGGTAAACAGCCGCAGTAGCCTCAGTGATATATTTGTGAATAACAGCTGTGCGGCGGGCTTGGGAGTGACTGGACCAGATGTGGGTGGAGCTGCAAGTGGAGGGGCCACACAGACATCTTCATTGTGCAGCCTGGCATTAGCAGCCGGGGGCACACCAGCCATTTACAACAATGCTTGCATACAGTCCAATCCGCTGCACAGTTTAGAAAACTGCTGCCAGTTAGTGTCAGCGGAGGAAGCGGCTGCAGCGGTAACAGCGCCCACAACAGCCAGCACAGTGTCTGGAGTAAGTAGCCTCTCAAATATTGGCACGCCTGGCTCTCCCCCTCAAGCTACTAGCCCAACCGGCGAGGTGCGCGAAATACTCGACCAAATAAGTAAGCTACAAGCGGACGTCAGCTACGAACAGCTGCTGCTTACCGGTGGTGCTAAGCCACGTTTGCAGCACACGCTGTCCAGGCCAATAACACGACCCGCCACATTGCAACATACGGCATCAACACCGATGTCAACAACGCCGACATCAGCGACTCCCAGTAAAGGAAAAAAGTTCTATGCGTCGAAGCCGCCCAACAAGGCGTTATATATACCAATGGCCGTAATGGCACCACCGCCTGCCCAACGCTGTGTGCTCAAGAGCCCCATTAGTAGCGTTGTCAGCGGTGCTAACTTTTTTGTTAACCGCGGACGGGTGGCCCGTAAGGGCTGGATATCTCGCTCGGCACCAACAACGCCAGGCAGCGGACTCCCGCCCAATCGATTAGGTGATGACAGCCCATTATTGAATGAGCACGATGAGGATACCATCGACGAATCTGGGCACGGGGAGCAACTGGAATAATACACGCCGCCCCCACAAAACGGCAGAGATAGTTCAAACACCTATAGATGTAAGCTTTTAATCAAACTGCAGCTTAGTAGGTCATCCTTAGATCGCCTGAAATCAAAGTGCCAAAAAATACCAAAAAAAAAAAAAAAAAAAATTAAATTACAAAAACATCTTAGATTTTAGGCTTGCTCTGAATATTATTGATTTTCAGAGGTTGTGTCTTCGAAGCACTTGTTAATCTCAACTTCATCTAAGTATAAACCAAAAATTTGAAATAAAGTCGCTTTTATTCGTATTTTTGCCTATGAAATTCTTATATTGATCTCACTCTCTTCACTACAAAATGTCTCAATTTGTATGTTTTGTAGCTTAAACTTATTGTTTTGGAGTGGCCATGTTATGTTATAGGAATTACTAACCACATCGCGAAATCACCGACGCTGTCGTCATTTCCAAAAACGCGCTCACAATCTTTTAGGCTCGGGGATTTTAATTGCAACGTTCTTACTTGTTTTTTTTTTTTCTTTTTGGTGTTTTCTGGCAAATTGACTAATATAAATACACAACTAAAAATGGTTTATAAATCGATTTGTTCGTACGTACTATTCTACATAATTAGGTAGACAATTAAAAAAAAAATAAAAATAATAGTTGGCTAATACTTGTAACTAAGCAGGCCGACCGTGTTCCTATTGCACAAAAAGCATACAGCAACAGCTATAACAACAATGTATCATTGATGAAATTATGTAATATGTATGTACATATGGATGTATCGATTAAGATTCGTTCTGCAAGTAAAGGACTAAACAATTTTTGTGTGCTTCAAACTACATTGTAAATGTTTCAAGTTTAATTGTAAATCTATGGTATAAGGGAATTAAAAAGGAAAAGCAAATGTGTTCTAGTCGGGTGCACTCGAGTAGGAGATATTCTGAACCACTGGCCGAGCTTTGTATCTTTACACAGCTTCCAGCTTTATCCCATACACACTTACACAGTAACACACATACAAACACACACACACACACCGATGCTCGGCGCTTACTGCACTGCATATATGCAAAATCCATATGTTTCATACAAGTGTTCTTGAAGAGCAAAATTGTTTATTGCCGTATCTTAATGAAATTCAGCGTCTACATAGAACTTTCAAGCAAGTAAGTGAGCTTTAGTCGGGAGTGTCCTACTTGAAGATTCCCTAAAAGCAGAGCTCCCGTCACAAGCATTCTTGCTTCTTACTGTGCAGTATACTTCTTTTTTCTTTCCTTACCACCACAGTACAGTATTGTCCGATCTTTAGGGCATGAGTATGCCATATAAATGCGTGCAAGTACAAAGACTTTACATCTTTATATAGGGAGATGCCTAAAAACACAAACATTCTGCGTATACCATACCGATCGACATTCCGAATGTGGTGGCTAAGCTTAAACAAAAAACAAGATTTCGATATGGATTCTTATCGATTTCAGGTCGGGCAGCATGGACACAACGACGACCTATGATCAAATTTTGAAATATCCAGCTCCAGGACGGACGGACAGACATAGGGACTTGGCTAGATCAATTGGTGTTGACAATGGATATATATACTCTATGTGGTTGAAGATGCTTCCTCCTGCCTGTTAAACTCGTTCTGTGTGTGGTTCAAATGTTTCAAATGTCAAGCATCTGCTTTTAGTAGTTTCCAGTATCGACGCTTTCATACAGTTAAACAGACTGCGGAGATGGGCAGGTCGACTTGGCCCGCTTGGCCTCAAACAAATTTTTAAATATCGTTTTTCACAGTTTTCGAAAAATGCATTCCTCCTTCGTGGTAATGGGGGTCAAAGATTTGGTGGGTGACGTTTCGCGCTCAAGTTCAACTTATTTTCAAAGCTCTACATAAAAACATAAAGAATGCGTGTATCAGCGTTTTGGGAAATTCGAAAAAAATAAGTGAGAAAAAAACATTTGGGGGAAGTGCGGGTTAACGATTTGGTGGGTGACGTTTTGCGCTCAAATTCGTTTTCAAATATCTAGATTTATTAACAATATTTAATCGATGTGCAGTTCAGAAAATATATAAGACAAAATCACACTGACTCAGAACTATACATTCATATTTATATACAACATAAATTAATAATATGAAATTTAAAAAAAAAATAATAATATGGCTGAATACAAACCCCAGCAAACAATGCGGCAGTGCCTTTTGACTACAAGCAAATAAAAAAAATTAATATATGTACTTATGTAATAGAATAAAAAATATATGTTAGAGTTTGTGGTAAAAAATAATCATCGAAACAAAAACATGAAAAATAAAAGAAAGAAAAAACAAAGCCAATATTTAAACAGAAAGTATGACAACTAAAGATACAATATGTAGGGTCGTCAAATCGGAAATAAAACATTTTAATAGTCCCTCAACAGCGATAAAAACGTACCTCTCGGCAATATATATCCCCAATGCCAACCTACGTTGTCCTGTCACAGACGAATGGCAGCCGAAGTTACGTTCAATTGCACAAATAGGTCGTATCTGTAGTATACGGTGGTTTCCATGTAGTCTATTGAAATCAATGTTAATTTTAATGAATTAATTGATATTGTAATTTATTTATAATTTTATGTATGCAATGGTAAATAAAATACAAGCATCTGCTTAAGTGCCATCACACACTCTCTGAGAGATCCGGCGAGCTTAGGGCCAGTGCAGAAACAGAGTCCATGTGGGACCCAACGTGCAAATATATGTTACACTATATGAGAGGCCATATTTTAGCTTGTTTCGTAGAGTAATCAATGTTGTTCGATTGAGTAATGAGTATTGATGCGCGTTTGGCGCATACCCTTAGCGATCTTTTTTTAAGATTTTTATTTGTCGAATTGGCGGTTGCACTGAAGAACTGTGGGAGATATAGATACTTGGGCCTGTGCGAACGGACAGCATGACGGACATTGCGCAAAACTAATATACTCGTTTTCATATCGCAAGCCAAGTTAAACAATGCATTCGATTAGAACAAATAAACAGATAAACTTTGATTAAAGTGCAATTTATTTTGAATTTAAATTTGAGTACATATATCTTATTAGATGCGGCTCATTAGTACAATAATATATAAGGTATTTTAGTATAACTATAAAAATAAAAACAAAACAAGTTTATTTAAGTGGTAAATTGCAACAAGTACTACATTACAGTTGGGTGCAACCGACTGCACAATGCTCTAATTACAGTGGAATAAAAAGCCGAAACAGGTATAAAAGAGCCTTTAATTATTTGGGTTTAGTTACTCTATAGCTTCAGTCCAAAGCCCAACTCTCAAAGTGTGTCTATATATCTTGGAATTTTAGTCATGAAGTTTACTTGTAAAAAAAGTGTGAAAACACACTTGGCCATCTTAGTTTAATTTTTTCGGAATATTATATGATATTTGAACATTATTTTCTAAGTATTTACAGATATAATAATTAACGGCTAACGCGTCTTTAGTGTACATATTATTAAATAAGCTTCTGACTAAGGTAATCGAAAGAAAAAAAAAATAAACAATTATTTTCGGAGACCGAATAATATTTACCCTTGCACACATAAAGCAGATGAACGATATGTTACTATCTAAAACTCTATTTTCCTACGCTTAAATGTTACCTCGAAACATAACGTTTTTCTCAGACACTGACTGATAAAAACGATGGACCGAGGCAAAGTTTAATCCAGAATGCCCGAAAACTGGCGGCATAGTTTTCATAGATACAGACAAAAAGGGCAGACAAACAAACATGGATATACTAAATATTTTATGGGAACGGAGATGCCTCCTTCTGCCTGGTACATACATTTGCGCAAAACCATAATACCATTTTCAATGTGTACAGGGTATATACATATATAATTAAAACAAGGCTATCTGGTAATTCGTCATTGCTTTAGGGCGTGCGCCTCGCCGAGCTGCTGCTGTCCATTGTTCAGTTTTAACTTGGACTCGAACTCCTTGTGGACATTTTTGTAATAGGGTCCCAGCTCTTCGCGCACCATGTCATACCAGCGCGCCAGCTTGTTTCGATTTTTAAAGGCATTGAAGCCAATGCACTCTATAAGAAGAAGAAGAAAGTAAAGAGAATTAGTCATTTTGTGGCAATAAAGAACTTATATAAATAATACTTACTGGGCTGGTCAATTTCACAGATTGCACTCAAATCCGCATAGGATATGTTATCGCCCAACATGAATTTTCGAGAATTCAGGAACAGCTCCTCAAAGTCGTTAAGTGTGTGCTCCAGCTGCTTGCTAGCTACATTAACCTGCATAAAGAATGTATGAATTTTGGGATATGTCATATATTTTTAAGTATATATAGTTTATATGATAGCTATTTATCCTGAAAGACTGAAACACAGACAGTGGGTTTTAAATAATTCCACCTGTATCTGTATCCCATCCGATCGAATTCGAACTTTTCATGGATACGAGGCATCTGGATCGTCTAGATCTAAGCATAGTAACCGTAAGACTTAGCTCCGAGATATGCTCAAAAAGCAGGATATTGATGTTGACATTTATAGATTTCGTTGAAATGGAGCAAGCTTTTGTTGTTTTCAAACAAACTCTGGCATGGGGGGAGCTACATTCAAATTTGCAGCTCTCTAGCTTTAAAGGCGCTGAGACAGACGAGTAGGGTTTGGTCTCTATCTTCTTACTAAGGTGTTTTCTTCAACATGTTACATACACTGGCACAAAAGCATTATAACCTTTTACAAGGAAATAACCTTAACTTACCGCACTATCGGAAGGTCGTGTTTTCTGCAGGTAAGGCACCAGCCATTTTTGCTGAAAATAATCGGTACAGGCCACCGCCATATTGGACTGCTGCCAAGCAAGAAACTCATCGATGCGGCTGCGACCCAGATAACGATGCGGATACCAGTGCTCGGGCACTAGCTTCTCGCGAGCTAGATGACGGAAGATGGCCACGCTCTCGGACAGCTGATATCCCTGATCAGTGATTGCGGGCAGCTTGCGAAACCGATTGACCTTGTCTCGAAACTCGCCCGTTAAGTGCTCACCTTAAAAAAAAATTAAACAAAAAAACAACAACAAATGTACTTATTATTACAGGCTCAATAATATATACTTATTTATGTACACACATATGCAATTGTTTTTGACCAAATATATGTAACAGACAAATGAACGAGTTTTGCGTATGCTATAGGACCATATGCATTTTAAGTCTTTAGCTTATGTAGTGTCAGACAGGGACAGACTGACACGCGAACATGGCTAAATTGACTCAACTCATCGGCCTGATTAAGTATAAATACTTTATGAGGTCAGACATGCCCCTTCTGCCAGTTATATATATTTGCAAGATTTACCTACTATCTTTTTACACATTGTTAATAGAATAATAATAAGAGTACTTTAGTACTAAGAGATTCTCATGCATTTTACCTTCCTATTGCACAGGTATATACGCAGCTTCTTCTTCACTTAGCCACACACTGTGGGGAAATCTTTGCCAATTTACTTCCGTGCTTATTGTCCGATCTTCATGAAATCAAAATCGACTATTGCTACTGATCAAGAATTAATCTAATTAATTGAATCGGAGTTGCTTTCTTCTGGCTGTTACACGCATTTACTCAAAACCATTATACCCATTTCTAAAATGGTTCAGGGTATACAAAAAGAGCACTATATAAAAGTAAAAAATGCTGCGTCATTGTGTTTTGCATAGCTTTGCCAAATAAAAACCAAACTTAACCAAGTCAAACATGGCCCAAACGATGGTTGCAGTTATGGACTTAGTCAAGGTTAGATCGAGCATTAAACTATTGCGCTAAATACTTATATACTTTGAAGTTAAGTAGGCATTTTAAGGTATACAACTTTTAGATGTCAAAAACGAATTTCTCGAGTTTTCCGATCGCCTACATCCGCATTTGTTGCATGCAAATTGCAGAAAAACTGAGAGCTTACCCGGCGGCTTCCTTGTTGTCGTAGTGCAAGTGCAGCGAAACTTGCTCGCAGTTGGACTTTAAGCTGAACAGTTTCCAAAAACGACAACTTTTTTTAAGTAGTTGTGCCACTTAAGCTCACTTTTTGCGAGTGATATTTATTTGGCGACTGGCCACTGGCCCCGAAACACGGCATCGACGATTCTCAACAGAGCAAACAGCCTTATGCAGATGCAGACTTGGTTGCATGTGCACGAGTCGAGTGTCTAAGTTTGCACAGTGCTTGGCGTTTCTTATAGGTCTGCTTCAATGCTCCATGCTCAAAATGTAATAACTCAATGACCTTAGTTACAGTTTATCTCTAAATGGAAGCCACAACTGAGTATTCCGTCTTGCTCTCCGTAAGTCAGTCTGTAAATCCGCAAAAACGTACTTTTTTGGAGATTTATATTTGAAACTTGACATTTAAACTCGCGTCTTTTCGCGTAAAAGTGTAACACTTTTTAAGTCACGTCTACTTGGGGGCGGAAAAGCTGCGCAAGTCGATATCCAGCAGTTTGAAACATGACTAAATTGAATCAAGAGTATTTACACTTTTTTAGGTTCGACTTGCTTAGTTGCGCATGTTAAATAAATTTGCAAAAGGCAATGTCCCCTTATTTTATCCCTTTTTAATGGGAGCAGAGTATAAATATAACTAAAAATAAATAGGTAAATAATTTTTAAATAAACAAAGTCGCCGTTTTTTTTATAAATGTTTAATGTATTGGAAAAATAGCATACATTTTTGAAAAAAAAATGTGATCGGTCTCTTTTTAGCCATTTTCAATTGGTTCAGCGTAAACAAATTGTTCTTGCAAGATCTTTTTATTTGATTTGGGCAATTTGCAACTTTTCTGCAAATAAAAAAAGTTTTATTTTGTGCCAGAGTAATCTCTACTGCGCCGTATGTGCAGCTAAGGAAACCAGAAATTTTTGTTTGTTTAATACCCTGTGCTTAAATGGAGATCAGCTAACGGGCTAATGTTCGGATCGTGTACTTAGTTTCCTATCTCTGAACCCAGGTTGACGTCGAATATCTATAATTATTCAATAGAACTATCAATTTATCAGAAATCAAATGAATTCTACATACATAAATGTAGCAAACAACATTTCTCATTTTAAAAGTACAAAAACTAACATAACAAGTAGTTATTCATAGATAACTTAAAAATCACGTTTCTGACTAATAGCATTTGTTTGTCGATGCTGGGCACAGGGTATATCCTAGTCCGGCACTACCGCGTAGAGTACTTATTATACTTGTTTTTATTTGTTTTATTTATTATAAGTGTGTCAATATTTCTGATTCTATTTATAAACGCGTTTTATACATTGGCCACATTAAAAAACTTTGCAGCTGGGTGCGAAATGCATTATAAGCCGATACATTGGTAAAGCTTTAGGTGAATGTTTGCCCTCACACACATACATATGCACACCTGTACACAATATATATATTAAATATGTATATGAATAAATTAAATCATGGCAGTGCAAACATTTAATTTGAATTGAAATATACAAATTATATATGCATATGTATTTTTTTTTAGTAAACACACCAAGCGTAATAAATTTTTGGCGACCTACATACTACATACATGTATGTACATATGTATAAATAATTATTTCCACAAGCCACAATTATGGTTGACTGGTGAACATACATACATAGATAGGTAATAAATTAATAAAATGTTTATACGAATTGTGCTAAGCATCGAAGGAGATATCTCCGACCCCATTATCAGTATCAAGCCTCGACAGTTCTATATGTTTTCAAGATTTTGCAAAATCTTATCAATAACGAATAACTATATCATTTAGCTCCCGTAGAAACAATCTGTCAAAAACTGAACTGTTTAGAAACGTGATTTCTCAAGCTAAATCACATCATCTTCGTACTAGTGTATCTTAGAAGCTAAACATGAAAGTTCTTCGTTTTTTTTATCGGTAATGTACAAATTTACCGCAATCTGTTATGTGAGTACATCATTTGAGGGTATATAATCTTCAGCACTTAGAAGATAGCTAGCTATACCCTCCAGAATGATGCACTCTGAAATAATGTGTGAAAGCTTTTAATATGAGAATAATTGAGATTTACTTCCGACAACAAGTATGATAATGTACAACGAAACAATTTTTATAAATTATGTTTCTATTTCAATTATCATAGATTATCATTATTTCAAAAGTGACATTAAGCGTGCATACCTGTCTATTACATACATACACATTTATGTACATATGTAGACAAGCATGTATGTAGCACTTTCCCCTTCGGAAACTTGATAAGCGGAATTTTAAACAAGTGGAAAATTTTGGAAAATACTCATAAAATATCAGAGACTCACTAAGAAAGAGACAGAAATAGACTTAAGTGCATAATATACTTACATATGCATATGTTGTATTTGAATTGATTATTGAGTAGTAAACTGTATGTATGTGTGTGTACGTGTCTGTGTGTATACGTGTATGTGTGTGTGTGTGTCTATGGGCTAGTAAAGGCTGATGACGAGCATTTGGGCACGTACTCAACTTACCTTTGACCATAGAAATAGGTATTGCTTCGAATGGAATTTTTGATGCCTCCAAAAGTATGTAGAGGGATCGGCTGGACTGATTTAAAAAATCGAAATAGAACTTTACCGGTTGCGTCATTTTGTTTTTGTATTCCTATAATAATAACTTAATTATTTAATTCTGTGATTTTTTTTTTTTTCTGCAGCGATAAAAGCTGGCGCAACACAAAACGCGAACAAAAGACAAAAGTTCGAATTCCAAACACGAATAAGCAAAATAACAAAATAACAAAATAACAAAAACAAACGAATGTAATTAGTTTTAGTAGCAGGACTAGCAGCTGACTGGTCAATCGCTCTAACTGCTGTTTTTAGACTGAGCTCTAAGCGTCGCCGAATGCGACATTTTAAACGCGACGCAAAGGCATTGGCAGTAAAGAAGCCAGCGTCGCTGCCGTCTATGAGCTGCGCCTGCGCTGCCATTGGCAACATTCGAAATATTCATACATATCTGTGTGAGTGTTTTTGTGTAGACAAGAGAGGCAGTGGAGCTATTGAATGAACACATGCGTGGCGCAGCTGCTGACGCGCAGTCGTTTGTGTGTAGCTGCAAAGCATGAAAAAGAAGAGAAGCCGGTCGTCGATTGCTTGCTTTGCCTGCTTTTCATACCCTGTACCCAAATTGATAAGTGGAGTATATTCGATTTTAATTAATATTGCTTTTCGCTGCGATTTCTGAAAATACTTCATAAAGCTAAGAACACACGATTTGGTATTCAGCACAGATAACGTTTATCTCACTCTCTTGTTAACTGTGTCTATTTATGTATGTATTTTGGATGTATCAGAAGTTAGGATCAAGTGTATATTTTATAAAACGAACAAACACAGTCGCTGTTTATATGTATGCGCATATGTATGTATGCATACGTACATAAGTAAGAACATGTGTACATACATGTGTATGTTATGGCAACCCAAAGCTAGGGGAAGGGTATCTCTCCTAGTGGGACATTATCGACTAGAGCACTTTTACTTGTTTGTTTTCGTTTGGCATTTTGTAGCGTCGCTGTTTCTGTTATACTAATTAATATTGCTTTTGTTTTCACAGTCGAGAGTTCGTTTTGTTGTTGGTTGGCAGAAGTGCCGATGTTCTGCGCATTTAATATACATATGTACATACGGTGTTGAGCACCCCACGCCGATTGAGGGTCAGTTCGATAAGCTGTCAAAAAGATGGGATCCCTAATAAATACCGCTATGTGTACATACATATGTATGTAGCTACATATGTAGCTACATATGTGCATGCATATCGAATGTAAATATGTCTAACTATTTTAGTTACCATTTTCGTAGTTGATTTTAACTAATTCAATTTCAGTTTTAAATATTTTGTAAAAACACTTATACATTTATACATAGGCATCGCCGTTTAAATTTACATATACATGCATACATATGTACATATATGTATGTACTTAAATTATAGCTGGTGACATTCGAATTGTCATGAAATATTAAACGCATAGCAGAACATGTATCTGATCTCATAAACTATATATTTTCATGATCTACTGATCAGCAGCCGCGGCAAAGTAGCCATGTCCGCCTATCCTCCTGTCAGTTTCTATTCAAAATATCTCAGTTTTAAAGCTACCGTCTGCTGCATATGTATGCATGTCGGAACCGGATATATAATATATCTACCATAGAATATTTTTACCTAATTCGGCAATTATTGGTTTCACTATGCATCCTACCTACATATATGTATGTACATATGTATGTACCTTTTAAAGTTTGTACTTGGATCGACATAGGAACGATCGGTTGGAAAGTAAGTTCTTGAATAAAAAACATGTTCAGATGAAATTTCCAAAAACCCCGTCCTGAGCGTGCACTTTCATCACATAAAGTGACTAGAGTGAAACTTTCAGCTTCCTGGCTCTTACAGTTTGGGTTGTACTTTGATAACCAATCAGTCGGTTGGGACAAACTGTCTTTTATATTTGAGGAATAGTGTTGGGCCTTGGTACTTAGACAAATTTGGATGCCATATTGACGGGCTGAAAATTTCATAAAGATCGGAAAATAATCACAGAACCTATTCAAGAAAGCATTGCAAATAGTGTCATCAAGGTTTGTATCTTTAATCAGAACATTTTCCATACACAAAAAAACTACTTCCTTGACAGAATTTCAACAGTTAAAACTTAGCTAGATTTTTGAGTAATCGAGTATCGATTGTATGTTAAGAAAGAAGCGAGACTATTTGTAAAGAAAGCTTTACGCTAGGGTCAAAATATCTCTTGGCCGGGCACAGGGTATCTCCTAGTCAGGCACTCCCGACCACTGCATTCTTACATATTCTGTACTGTATCTGATATTATTGGTTTTGTTTTTGCACCTTCTTTGACTATTCACGATAGCACTTTGCACTTAGCACAAGCCGCTTCTGTTGTTGTGATGGTTTCTGTTGCGGTTTTATTACCGCATACATACTATATTGTTATAAAATGTACACCTTATCTATAAGCGATTTGCAATCACAAATACCTACATACATACATGCAAGTAAGTCATTAGTCTGTATATATGTCAGTATGTGCTATAAGCTATTATTTTGAAACGTGAGTATCCCCGTACTTCGCATTATCTTGTTTACCAACAAGCTAACAAAAGCATGAAAAGGTGATTTGGTCGTAAGTGCCCCACTAGAAAATACCCTGAACGAAGTGAAAAACTGCCCCTATAAATAACACAATATATCTTTGCTTCATGTAGAGTCCCAAAGAAGACATTCTCGGACATATCTTTTCTCATGCGACATTGAGTGTAATCAGAATTTCAGTATGATCAGGTTGTAAATAACTATATGAAAGGCAAAGCAACAGGAAGATGTATCTTAAAGAACCTACTTTAGGCCTATCTTTTATGAGGCATCTATATATATATTTTGTGGTCCGATGTTGATGAGAGTTGGCAAACCTGAAAAAAATCCTAAGTAAAAAAGTGTTTCGTACGAGAACCTACTTTTCGATCGGTCGTTGATATAGTGGTCCGATCCGACCAGTTCTGAAATATATGTACTGACTGCAGCAGAAAGACGGACCTTCGACAGTAGTTTGCATAGAAACAGGTAGATAGACATGGCTTCGTATATCAACTCGGCTGCTGATGCTAATCAACAATATATATTTAATGGGGTCTATCAAATGCTGATAATTATGCAGCTTTGGGAACTGCAACTGAAGGTCTGATAAAACTTCTATTGGATTCACACTTAAGCGATTTACCTTAGCACCACTAACCATACAACCGACCATTTTGTTATGCCCAGAGAGAGTAAGACTGCGGAAACAAAAGCCGAAAGCATATGATTTGTTCGACTAGGACAAGGGACAAAGGCTCGACTGACCGAGGAAACTCTATTCGGGACGGGAATACGCGCTTGGGCAGCGCATGCGAACCTCCATGCACCCCTTCAGCTGCTCTATCTCTGCAATCAGCGAGAATATGAGCACGCTCTATAAGCACGTTATTTAGAACATCTAATGAAACCCCGCGCACCCCCTGGTCAACTTAACAATTAGCATCTAAAATTAGGTTCTCACACCAAAACACAGATAAGCTAACGCACTCCTGCGAATTTTCGCTTACATAGCAGTAGCGATCGAATGCACAAGCGTCAACAAAGATTACTCCACATCCATTGTTAAAATCATCTAACTGGTAATAAGATTCAAGTAAGCGTTCCAAAACGACATGACTCCACGCGATTTGATGGGTAATAGCTCTGCGGGGAGATATGACGTTCCAAAACGACATAACTCCGCGCGGTATGATGGGTAATAGCTCCGCGGGGAGATATGACGTTCCAAAACGACATAACTCCCTCCGCTCGGATGGAAATAACTCCGCGGGGAGATATGACGTTCCAAAACGACATAACTCCACGCGATTTGATGGGTAATAGCTCCGCGGGGAGATATGACGTTCCAAAACGACATAACTCCAGGCGGTATGATGGGTAATAGCTTCGCGGGGAGATATGGCGTTCCAAGACGACATAGCTCCGCGCGGTATGATGGATATTAGCTCCGCGGGGAGATATGACGTTCCAAAACGACATAACTCCGCGCAGTATGATGGATATTAGCTCCGCGGGGAGATATGACGTTCCAAAACGACATAGCTCCGCGCGGTATGATGGGTACTAGCTCCGCGGGGAGATATGACGTTCCAAAACGACATAACTCCGCGCGGTATGATGGATAATAGCTCCGCGGGGAGATATGACGTTCCAAAACGACATAACTCCGCGCGGTATGATGGGTAATAGCTCCGCGGGGAGATATGACGTTCCAAAACGACATAACTCCCTCCGCTCGGATGGAAATAGCTCCACGGGGAGATATGACGTTCTGATGGATAATAGCTCCGCGGGAAATATGACGTTCCAAAACGACATAACTCCACGCGGTATGATGGATAATAGCTCCGCGGGGAGATATGACGTTCCAAAACGACATAACTCCCTCCGCTCGGATGGAAATAGCTCCGCGGGGAGATATGACGTTCCAAAACGACATAACTCCCTCCGCTCGGATGGAAATAGCTCCGCGCGGAGATATGACGTTCCAAAACGACATAGCTCCGCGCGGTATGATGGGTACTAGCTCCGCGGGGAGATATGACGTTCCTAAACGACATAACTCCGCGCGGTATGATGGGTACTAGCTCCGCGGGGAGATATGACGTTCCAAAACGACATAGCTCCGCGCGGTATGGTGGATAATAGCTCCGCGGGGAGATATGACGTTCCTAAACGACATAACTCCCTCCGCTCGGATGGAAATAGCTCCGCGGGGAGATATGACGTTCCTAAACGACATAACTCCCTCCGCTCGGATGGAAATAGCTCCGCGGGGAGATATGACGTTCCAAAACGACATAACTCCGCGCGGTATGATGGATAATAGCTCCGCGGGGAGATATGACGTTCCTAAACGACATAACTCCGCGCGGTATGATGGGTAAGAGCTCCGCGGGGAGATATGACGTTCCAAAACGACATAACTCCGCGCGGTATGATGGGTACTAGCTCCGCGGGCAGAAATGACGTTCCAAAACGACATAACTCCGCGCAGTATGATGGATATTAGCTCCGCGGGGAGATATGACGTTCCAAAACGACATAACTCTCTCCGCTCGGATGGAAATAGCTCCGCGGGGAGATATGGCGTTCCAAGACAACATAGCTCCGCGCGGTATGATGGATATTAGCTCCGCGGGGAGATATGACGTTCCAAAACGACATAACTCCGCGCGGTGTGATGGATAATAGCTCCGCGGGAAATATGACGTTCCAAAACGACAT